TATTTTTTTTTTATAGAGATGGACCAATTAAAAAAGAATTATAGCATTTACGATTTCCTAAACTAGAAAGTATGATTGAAGTTAAAATTTTATAAAGAGCTCCTAAAATAACTTTTATATGTTTTTAGCTAAATTTTAACTAAAAAATAGAGAGCATTATTGTAGATGCTACATTCCAAATAAATTTAGTCTTAAAGGTCTAATTATTTTCACTTATATTACTAATCATCTAAATCCTGGAATCCAATCCCCATTTCTCCTTTACGAGCCAGATAGTATACCATAAAAAATAGAGATATTTAGTCATATACCCATTTTTAGCACTAATATTATAGATAAACCCCACACCATTTAATTTCTATAAACAAACCAAAAAATGACAGCTGACCCTATTGAATTTAATTTTGATTATCAAATTACTTTGATGCCCTATTGAGTGTTTTGGGCTCTATTGAGTGTTTTGGTTCTTTTTATGAGGTTTTGGAGTTTTGTTTGTTTTAAGAAATTAATGGCAGTTTTGTAATTTAAAATAATCTAAAAGCCTTTTTGTTATGTTGTAAATAGGCTTAGGGTGTGTTTATAAAGTCCATTTTATATATGATTTTTTTATAATTTGAGCTCTTATATTGAGTATAATAGTGAATCTCCCTAAAAAATAATATATTGACTAGAAAAGAAAACATAAAATAGACTAATATTATTATTATTATTTTTTGGCTGAGAATAAAACGCATCAGCCAGTTGTTATATATAAATAAATAATAATACCAGGAATATGGCAGGTTCGTAATAAAAGTCTGCATGCAGGGTGATGGTAGAAGAAGAAAGCACAAAACAGTCAGATGATTTTCCACTTTTCCCTGAACGCTTTTTCACCTAAACTGGAATAAAAGCAGTAGGAAAGGAAACCACTGGTTTTCCATCCCACACTCCAAAGAAACCACTGCGCATAACCCACAATTCCCACAATGCCCTCACCAACTCTGCTGTTAAATACACACCCTTCTGTATTTTTCATACGCCTACCTCGGTTTAAAGCCGCAGTCACCTTTCTACAGAGATAGATAGAGAGTCTACTGTAGGGTTAATTAAGGAAGAAAGAATGAGGATGAGCTGCAATGGGTGCAGGGTGCTTCGCAAAGGGTGCAGTGAGAAATGCTCAATCAGGCCCAGCATTGAGTGGATCAAATCCCCTGACTCTCAAGCCAACGCCACTCTTTTTCTTGCCAAATTCTATGGCCGCGCTGGCCTTCTCAACCTCATCAATGCAGGCTCCCAACACCTCCGCCCTGGTAACCCTACTTTTTAATTAATAAGCTTTATATTTTTATTTTCTAGAAATTAAGTATTTCATTCTGCAGATGTGGGTTAGGCCGGTTCGTTAGGCAGTAACGCCGCCGCTTGCACCCAAGTTCGATTTCCCTTTCCAATAAAGCAATTTAGACTATCCTTGTGTCAAAAAGTATCATTTCCACCACTAAAGTTCTGTGTGTTTTTTGATCAGCTATTTTCAAGTCACTTTTGTACGAGGCTTGTGGACGGATTGTGAATCCGACATTTGGGTCGGTGGGTCTGATGTCGTCCGGGAGCTGGGCCCAATGCCAAGCAGCCGTTGATGCAGTGCTTGCAGGGTTGCCCATCGCCGGAGTTGATGCGGATGCACTACACCTTATCCCCAGCCCTCCTAACAAATCCGGCGACATACGCCACGTGTTCAGGGACTCGAACTCGGGGGGTTCTCGTAACAAAGTTGCAACCCGGAACAGGTTCAAGAGATCCATGAACAGGACCAAAACCCATCCTGGCTCGGTCACTGAGTTTGCAACCGGGTCACATATGGCTCAATTTTGTAACTTTCCTGACCCGGATGACTTGTGCCCGAGTCCAGAAGGAAATGGGGCTGGCGGAGATTATGATGGAGAGGTTGGGTTGGAACTGACTCTTGGATTAGTTCCAATGCGTCTTAATTAGCTATTAATAAATTATGGTTAATCTTTTGGTATGTTGGTTTTGTGGGAGTGACAAGTGGAGGGTAGAGTTGGAGAAGGACATACAAGTGTGCTTCATGCAATGCGAGAAGCACATGTTTTGGCGGCTCGGAATTGGTTTCTTGCTTCTTCTTTTTTGTTGTTTTTTTGGGCTTTGCTTTTTGCTTAGAAAAATCTGTGTCGTGTAAAAATGTGGGTGGAGTTGGGTGTAAAATATTATGCATATATGCGTAAGCACAACAAAATACTTACATTTCGCCTTTGGCGATCCATATATGTAAATTCTAGTACTCAACAATCATAATTGATGTATCAGATCTTCACTCAAACATCACTAGCTCTCTGATTAATTTCTGTCTTAAGAGATTCTTTGTTAACTCTAATTTTTATGGTCTTTATTACAATTTCCTGAATTGGAAAATCAGAACAAATGCAGCATCTGTCCAATTTTATTTGCTCGGTAAATGACAATATCATTATTGGGCATAGTACTCTACGGGGTCGTTTGGTATGGCGGACTGTTATGGACCGGATTAAATCCTAAGACTGTCTTGAATTAGCTCGGAATGGACTAAGCTGGATTAAGTACTGACCTACGTTTGGTGTTGCGTCGGACTAAGAAACTGGATTGTAAAAATAGTGAAGGCTTATGTTTGGTGTCGTGTCGGACTAATTTTTTTTTTAATATTTAATTTTAATTAAGGATTTTAGCCTAAAATTAAATAAAATTATAATATTTTTGAAAGACTAAAACTATCTCATTTCTTTTTATTTTTATTTTTCCTTACTTTTCTCTCCCTTGTCTTTTCTTCTTTCTTTTCTTCTCTGGCCGTTCCCTTTTCTTTTTTCCTTTCTTCATTCCTCTTCTCTCCTTTGTCTTTTCCTCTTCCTTTTCTTTTACCCGTTGGATTATATAATCTCATTTAACTTAATCCCTTCCCTTACCAAACATAGGTTTTTAGGACTATTTAACCCAGTCCAGTCCAGTGAAGCTTAGTGAAGCAAGCCAAACAGGGCCTACTTGCCCAATTTTATTTGTTTAAAAAGAAAAGGAAAAAAAACTCGAAAAAACAAAATTCGATGACTGTTGTCTTGGTGTGTTTCTGACTCGTAAACCCACCAAACCAAGAAAGTATACTTTTCATGGAAAGCCCTGAAAACAATTCTATGAGGGATACTTGTTTCATTCCAAGTTACTTTGGCTTGTGACTCATCTACTAGGAAGATATATAAAAAGATATCAAATATTCTTTTAAGTACTTTGCTTGCTACAAAGAATTAGGTTAATTTGATGATCAATATGACTAATATAAACAAGCTAAAAGCATGGGAAAAGGAGAAATCTTCGAAACTCCTTTTCTCTCTCAACTCATGAAACCTCAACCAGTGGCGGTTCTAGGATCAAAGAGCTGGTTAGGCAAAACTTACATACTAAACTTGACGGTACGAGTGAATTTCATTAATAAACATAAAAAGATACACCGTGGCCTCGAAAAGATGCAATACTTGATTTGCTAGATACCTAATGCTTTCAATTGTGGTCATAAGTCGTGACCGATTGTCCATCACTTGTTGCTTTGATTGCTTATCTACCACTTTTTCAATATGAAGAGATAGGTTTTTTAAGCTAATCCACTTTTGCATAGCAAGATGATGTGGTGAATTTAGCTTGCCCACATGATGTTGAAATGTACATTGATTCCCACCAATTCTCTTCCATTTTTAATACCCATCAATAATAAAGGTTGGGTGTGACTGATTCATGTCAAAAAGAAAGCAAGGAAAACAAAATACCTTATTCTTAGCAACTGAATACTCAAGCCAAGTGAATTGGCCAAACCACTTTTTATTAAATCGACAAAAGTCCCGCCCTTCTAAGTGGCTTGGATAATCTTCTAACTCGGGTTGACATGGTCCTAAAAGAATATATGCTCTTTGCACATTATCTTGTTCATTCACCGGATATTTGCATATTAAACGACGTAATCCTGGATCATGCTCAAGATAATTGATATTAAAATCATGATCATGATCATCGACTCTTTGAGATTCAACTCTTTCAATTGGAGGCTCGACAATGGGAGACTCAAGAAGATTTTGCTCATCACATATTGGAGTAGATAAAGAAGTGTTAGAAGGCAATGTACTAGATGATGACCCATCATTCTTTTTCTTAAAAAAAGACAACAAATTCTTTGTTCTCTTGGGATTCCGATTGTCATCCGACATGATAAAAGATAGCCTATGAATAATATTTAGAAAGAATTTTAATCAAACATACCAACAAAAAATCAAACAAATTGTCATAATAGCATCTCAACAAAACCAAACCAAGAATTATAATTCATCCATAATTAAACCCTAGAATACTCAATTTTAACAAAATCTCAAATCAAAGCTTTAGAATAATTCATCCCTAATCAAAGCCCTAATTAATTTCAACAAAATCTCAAAATTATAATTCATCCCTAATTAAACCCTAGAATACTCAATTTTAAATTAAAACTATAATTAAAGATATATAGCAAAGGAGAGAATGAGAATAATACCTTGTTGGTGACAAAAGGAGAGGAGAAGATGTTGTTGCCAAGTTGCCCACCCAAGATAATAGAAGA